GTATACATAGAGATGTGAATGATGCCGAGAAATTGCTCATCAAACTCAACGGATGTTCTCCATTTTCAATGGAACCCTCCCTTCGTAATGTAGTTAATGGTATGGTTGCTGCTGAGGATGTCAATGTTCTTGAATATGAAAAGATATCAGAAAGTATCATCTCTCGAATGAAACAACAGTCAGTTTTCTTGCATATGTTTAAAAGAAAGGAAAGAGCCAGGACTTTAGCAGATGCAGGTGCTATTGTTGTTGCACCTGACAGATCTATAGATCCTGGACTCTTATTTCAAAGATGTCTCATTGTGTCCCAAACTGGAAGCCTGTCTTTGGAAGAAATGCTTGCATTTGAGCTGAGTCCCTTTCCCCCATCATTGTTTGAAGGAAAGAATTTGCTCCGGAAAGCAGATAAACCGCAATTACTTCATGCAATTGTTGATCAAGGACAAAAGAAAATGTCAGACATATTATTATGTAATAATGCCTTCCCAACAACTGATATGCACATTTTTTATGGAGGTTCATTGCTTCATCGACTGCCCTGGAAGAAGGGCGAATCATACCAAGCAATTATTACGTCTTATTGCAAGCTAGTTAGAAAGTATGCATTCACAATAGTAGTGTTTGATGGCTATGGAACAGCAACGACAAAAGATATTACCCACTTGAGGCGTGGAAAAGTTGACCACTTTGATGTCAAATTTGGAGAATCTACAGTATTTGACACAAGGAAAGAGAAATTTTTTAGTAATACTAACAACAAACAGAAATTTATCAACATGCTTGGAAAAGAGCTTCAGTCAGCAGGTGTAACAGTTGTCCATGCACTGGGAGATGCTGATGCCCTCATTGCAACTACTACTATTAATGCGGCCAAGGATAAATCAGTTACACTTATAGGAGAGGACACCGACCTTCTAATCCTCCTTTTGCATCACACCAGTCTAAGTTCCAATAGGGTAATTTTTAGATCTGACAAGGCATCAGCTAAAACAGCTATAGATATCATTCCATTAAAAAAAATCACTTGGATCTAACCTCTGTTCAAAGCTTCTGTTTTGTCATGCATTTACAGGATGTGACACTACATAAGCTTGTTGATGATGATAACGCTCTAAGCTCTTGTGCTATCTTCACTTCCAGTAGTCAGACAAAGAAGAAGATTGAAGAATATGGTCGAAAAGCGATGGTGGCTCTCTTTGGAGGAAATAGCAGTGACACATTATTAACCTCAAGGAAGAGAATTTTTAACAAGAAGGTTGCTGCTTCAAAATCATTTGTTGGGCCAGAGAGACTGCCACCTACTGATCGTGCAACCGATTTTCATAGTCAAAGGGTATATTTGCAGATTATGACGTGGTCTATGAATGATACAGATATGGTGTTATCAGAATGGGGATGGAAAGAGGGAGACAACCACCTAATTCCACAAATGACAACTGAGGATGCCGCACCACCTCATCTGCTCAAGATGATACATTGTAATTGTAAGACTGGATGTGGTACACCTCGATGTGGGTGCAGGCAATATGGTCTTCAATGTACAAGTACATGTGGATCATGCCAGCTGGAAGGGTGTGAAAATGGCTTAATTAACATCCAAGACGACGATGATGGTGGTGAAAGTGATGACGAATAGTGTATCCAACTAACATGGTGTTACAAGATAATAAGTAAAAGTCTCAACTTAAAATAGTATGTATTATACTTATCTTTTTTATATATATTAATGTAAACTATGTATAGGAGAGCGATACAATTCCCGTTTTAATGGCTGAATAAATATTTCTGACTTTTAATAAAGGGTAGTATACTATCATGATTGTAATGGTCAAGCATCATCATGTGATGGTAAAGTATCATTTCAAGGTCAGTTACTATCATTGTTGGTTACTACAAATTTATAGTCAAACACTATCCTTAAGACATTATTTATAGTATTTTATTCATTATTTGATTTCCTTAGTTACGCATAGTAACGGTTGCTATGGTAATACAGTATTTATAAACTAGCATTGTCAATATGAATGAATATGAACAAATAATGCATATGCCAACTTTGAATAAGATTGGTAGACATGAAGTCATTTTATTTTATTTTATTATTTATTTAATATAATTTATTTATTTGTTATTGTTACCATGACAACTACATTCCTGTTCCAATGGCAATATGTAGAATTGATTTAAGTGGATGTGTAAGTACATAATACATCAGATGTAACATTTCAAACATAATATAAATATTTTTTATTAATTATTTCAATTTTCCTTAGTTACGCATAGCAACGGTTGATATGGTAACACAATACTTGAAAACTAAGAACATCAATGGAATTCATTTTATTCATATGATAATTCCACAAAGTTTGCTTAAGATTGATGGATATTAAGATATTTTAATTAATTTATCTTAATTTCCACATAAGTTGACCCCAAATGACCCCTTCTGATGGTCAAATTTCACGGGACTTTTTTTCTGTGAGTAATCACATAAAGTAGAATCCAAAAATGTAGAGAAACCTTTGTACGCATTTACTTCTAGGTTCCACCCTATTTTCCATCCACTAATGGTGAAAAGTCAAAAATTTTGAGTCAAAATGTAAATTTTTTTTTGGTAGGCAAATTGAGATAGCCTCAAACACACACTGTTTCATTGAAAGTTTGAAGTTTTTCGGAAAAGTACTCGAAATATGGCGAAATGTCAACAATTTGAATTAAGTGCGCAACTTGGCGAGATAAGCACTTTTGTGCAAAAAGTGACAATG